GTATTTTTTAAATATATTTTAAATATATTTTAATTATAAAATAATAATATTTTAAATAGTTTTTTATATACTTAAAATATATTTAAAATATATTCAAAATATATTTTATTAAATATTTTTTAAGTATATTTTAAATATTTTAGTTTTTATAAGGTCAACTTGTCATGTACCAAAAAGGTTATATAATTGTCTTATTTTTGTATCTTTCCATTAACATAATCAATTACTACACATGCTGTTAATTCGACTTGTTCTATAATTTCTATTATCTCATCTTTATTGTTGTTATTATATTGTTCATTATTACTATTATTTTTATCTTCATTCTCACTTTCAAAATCTATTTGTTCATTTTCATTATTATAGTCAGAATTACTAGTTTCTGTATCATTAATTTTTAATAAACAACTGTTATAATAGTCTTTATTAACACAAAACCTATTGTCACTATCTAAATTATTTATGGAAAATAAAGAAAGGGAAAAATTTAAAGTATTATATTCTTGTTTTGACATTCTTAATTATTTTCGAAATACAAAAAAAATAGAGTAAATTAAAGTTTGAGATACAAGTTACTAACAACTTTTCTTATTTATCTGAAGTAAAAAATATTTATTCAAGATCTTGTAGTTTCGCAAATATTAGTATTACAATAGCCGGTGAAACAAGATTTTGTATATTAGCATATACGTTTAGTTTGATAATTTTTCATATCTATAAATCATTGTCTATAGTAAAAATATCTCATTTTTTATCTGATTATAATAATAATTGATATTTTATTGCACTGATATATTGTGATATATTGTATAATATATATATATATTATGTAGATTATTTTTATTTAAATCAAAAAAAGATTTATTAAAAGTAATCAGCAGTGATCGGCACATATACTAATTAAATAACTCCCTATGTCAATCCCTGACATGCCACTAACTGATAAACCTATTTCGATGATATGATTTTGAGTAGATAAGTATTCATTTCGATAGTATATTTTCAAGGTATATAACTCAGTAATATTATATGAGAGAAATGGGAGTTATATACCTATTTTAATGGTATATTTCGGGGTGTATAAGTTTAGTAATATGGTATTTGTGATATTCATGTTAGAAAACACCAAAAAATGAAGCAATAATATTAGAAAAAGCTGGAGAAGATGGATCTGAGATAAAAGACTCTTAGTAATCTAAAAAAATTATTACCGAAGCTGTCACCAAAGATTTTTCGATAACAGATATCATACCTGATAATGTATATATAGCATAACCAGATAGCATATACTGATAATATACATATAACGTGACCAGTTTATATTTCTCACCTTCTTATATATATTATAAATAAAATCGAGTTAGATAACATGTTATTAACATAAGTGAAATCAGAACATATTTCTAATGCTAACTGGTGTCAAAAATTTCAGCAATTAACCATGATCACCAAATTTATATACAATATGACCTGTAACGGAAATTGGCTTGTTAAACTTACAAATGACAACACATGATTGAACACATCGTCAGATATTTTTTTTACCCATATGATACCACCGACAGTTCATAGTCGACAAGCCCTCTCTCGTCGCAGACTATGCATTAAATGATAATTATATATGATATAACAATGAAAACCAGGTACAATCACCAATATAATAGATCATATCGTTATTATCATCCTGATATATGATGGTTGGTACTATTAGTAGACTATGAATTTGTCGATATCGCAAAAACCATTTCAGCTATACGACAGTTCATAGTATGTGGGTACTACCAGTAGACTATGAGTTTGTTGGTATTGTAAAATTCATTTCAACCATATGACAGTTCATAATCTAAGTTAAGCCGATTCATAATATATATATATTATGAACTGGCTAATGCTCAAATTACAAATCTTTAAATCAATGAATTATTATTGATGGATTTTCCTACTCACATACCAACACAAATTAAAAATAATTAATAAAAACAATAATAATAATAAAAATGTAAATAGGATAAAAATAAATAAAAATAAAAATAAGCATTAATATTACATATTATTTAATACATTATACTAACCAAAAACGAAATGTTCTTTAATGTTTTATATAATGAAATACCTTGTGTGCACAATAGGGATCGACCATCTTGGCGCCAATGCAACTTTTCCAAACTGAGGAGAGTTGATAAAAAGATACAATTCACTTGTACATCAAAGCCTAGTTTTGTTATATTACAAGCAAATCAAAGAAGAATCTATGTATATTTTAAACATTATTTTTTTTTATTACATCATTTAACCTGTCTCTATATCCCTTTTTTATATGACTTTATTTTTATAATTCTATTTTTCTATATTTGCAATGTTCCTTTTTTACCAAAAAAAGTGAATAATTATTATAAAATGCACAGTATATTAATAATAGGATTTTATAGTATTATGATTTTTAAAATAATATATATTAAAAATTTTATTTTATATAGGGGATTTTTACTGTACAAAATATTTCTTATCTTATGTGACAAAATCGAATGGAACCATATGATTTTTATCTGGTAAAGATTTGTTTTGTTTTTTTAATGTTAAGATTCCATTAATTATATGCATTATTATTTATGTTATAACCCTGGACAACAAAAATAATTGTTATTGTTACCCCAGGAATGTTAAAAGAATTTTTTTCCTTTTTTTTTTTCCTTGCATTTTTACGTTTAAATTCAATTTATTATTAATTTTTATTTTTTTATTTTTATTTTTTATTCGTTATTTTTATTATTTTTAATTATTTCATACGCATGGTTTTTAATTTTTCTTCACCTGGTTTGAGTTCAACTACAAATCGTCATTGTAATTTCCTAGTCGAACGGAAAAGGAATCTTTTTTCCTTTTCTCCCATGCGGAGTAGTACTAGTGATAGTGATATCGATTATAATGCTGATATGACAGGCACACCTAGAACTGAATTTGGTAACGGAACTTCAAACATGACACCTCCACCAATACCAACTTCAGCCAGTTCTCTTGAACGTGGAGTCATTCTAATAATTGCATTATATGCTAGTATAAAAGTTGTTCTAATAATGGCAGCAAATGAAGTTGGTCGCATTGAAGGATTAGGTTAGCATTATTTGTATATAAATAAAATTTAATTAAATTCATTAAAATTTTTATAATTAATAAATATTAATAATTAGATTTGGTTTTACTGGCAATTTGGACGTGGTGTGTTTACTCTTTCGGTTTTCCGTTTTCAATTAAAGGTGAAAAACTCTTTCACAGAATATGGGGAACAGACGATAAATGTTATAGGTCTGATCAAAATTTTAAAAACTTTGAAAATGAATTTAGATATCTGAAAGAACAAATTATTCAATAAACACAAAAAAAAAAATAATAATAATAAATAAATATAGAAGTGATGTCGATGATGGAGCATTTTATGGAGTATTATTACTTCCCACCGTAGCTGCAGCGAAATTAGTAGATGTTCAACGATCACCGAATTTTAATGAAGGAGACTTTAACATTGGTATGAAAGATGAATTTCATGGTCTAGGGTGTGTCAGGACATTGGAGGTAGTCACCATCCTGGATTATTGAATTAAATAAATAATAATAGTCGATTATTCATCTTAATCTTTTTTTTTTTATACAAAATGGACGACGATAATAACAATACAATAATAATGATAAATAATAATTTAGAATTTTATGAATCCAACTTTGAACTTTGTCTTGTGATGGGAGTTGGTATTCTTATCCATATGTTTATGTCCAAACACGTAATTCTTCATAATATGTCAATTCTATGGGCAATGACAATTGTTACTGGAATATCTGTATTTTTGGTTATTTCTTTATCTAAATTTGGTTTCTTTCCATTATTCGAAAGTAAGTTTTTAAAAATTTATTTAAAATTTAAAATTTAGAATTAATTAATAATAATATAATAAATTATTAGGTTAATAATAATAATAATAATAATGATATAATAATAATAATAACCTTTTTTTAATATTAAATTTAGAATTACCGTGGCAATTCATTTTATTTTCGCAGATTTTCTATCAGGTTTCATTATATTCAATTATTACTATATTGAAGAAGAGTTTTACATTTGGTGAATTATCAGTAGTTGCTCAAGCCATAACATTACTTGTGGTAGAATTATGGGTTATTACCGTTAACAGAGTTGGTTATTTTTTTTTTTTTTTTATTTATAATCTTTTAATAATTTTTTTTTTTCAACGTTTATAAATATTTTTAATAATTTCAACATTTTTTTTTCAATAGTTTAATTTAATGAGTCATTCTCATTTTCGTAAACATTCACCGAGCGATATTACTTTATATCAAATAGCTTTAATTTTAGGAATGCTATTGATAGGAATAATTCTTTCACCAATATTAATTCGATCGCGTCATTTAGCTCAACAACCAAGATGGAGAACTAAACATGCACATGCATTTAATAATGGAAGGAAATGGACAGCATTTTCTATTTACGGTGGTACCGCACTTATAATTGGATTGATAGGTCATTGTATGAAATTTTATTTATCTACGGATCCTTATTCATGGTAAATTTTTTATAACTTTTTATATTTAATATTATTTCAATTTCAATTTATTTTTGTTGTTAAATTTATCTTTTTTTTTTTTTTTTGTACATTATTAGGATCGTTAATTATATTATCGAATCTCCCATGAAAATTGTTCTTGCATTATACTGGATAATAACGATAGCCTTATCTTTATTATTATTTGCCAAGTACGCATTTTCACGAAAAATTTATTCATTAAATACAAAACGAAAATTTTTTCATTTTCTAGCCATAGTTATGTTTATTCCAGGATATTTACTAGAGGTTAGTTAAAAATAAAATGAGATTAATCTTGTCAATCTTGTATATATATATTTGTTTATAATTTTATACGATTAATTAATAAAAATTTTCTTTTTGATATTTAAAGCCGGATTTTATGCATTTAGCATTTAGTGTGGCATTTGCTGCTCTTATATATCTAGAATATTTAAGATATTTTGCAGTATATCCTTTGGGCAAAAAACTTCATATTTTTCTTTGTGAATTTTTGGATTATCGTGATATTGGTCCATGTATATTGAGTCATATATATTTGTTGGTTGGATGTGCAGGATGTATATGGATGCGAGGGTATTTAGTTATTCAGTTATTTAATTATTTTAACTTTAATTTTAATTTCATTATTTTTATTTTTATTTTAAATTTGTAGAAATTCAATATTAGCAAATTTATCTGGAATTCTTACACTAGGGATTGGGGATGCTATGGTATCATTTTCTTTATATTCAATTATGTTATCAATTTATATATATATATATTGAATTTTCTACATTTTCCGCATTTTTTCTGTGTTTCCTTATTAACTTTATATAATATATCGTTCTATAAAAAAAAAAGGCATCGATAATTGGTAGAAGATATGGCCGCCATCGATGGCCTGGAACATCTAAAACTGTTGAAGGGTCAATTGCGTTTATTCTTTTTCAATTATTTGGTGCATATATAGTTACTCTCATTTGTCCTTCAAGTAATATGTGGGCTGATGGTGAAAAGGTTCGTGTGTGTGTTAAGTTATTTAAAATGATTTATTATAATTTCAAAGATTATTTCTAAAATTATTTCTGAAATTATTTCTTAAATTATTTCTAAAATTTATTTCTAAAATTATTTCTTAATTATAGTGGGTTGGGTATTCCTTTGCGGTATCAATAACTGGTAAAACATTTATTATTATTGTTGTTGTTTTTGTTTTGATTTTTTTTTTAAATAAAATAATATTTATCAATTATTTTTTTTCTTTGATATAGCATTATTAGAAGCAATATCATATCAAAACGATAACCTCATGATTCCATTGTATATGTGGGCATTAGTATGTCTATTTACGTGAATTTTTTCATTTAATTTAGATATTTTTTTGTGTATAATTAGTTCATCAATTATTATAGGGAAGTATTTTTTTTTATTTATTAAGAAAAACAAATGTTTTTATATTTTAGTAAAATAATCAGAGATTCATAATTGTGAATACATAGATTCAAATGTACATTATCAATATTTATTTAATTACAAAACTCACCAAAAATTAACAAAACTCTATTAAAACAAAAACCCATAAAATGTGAAATAATTCAGCTTAGAATATTTAGCATAGTAACAGTTTCTTATAATAATAATAAATATTTGTCAAATTTTTTGTCATGTGAACTACGCACATACGTTATTTTTAATTGT